GCAAATAGCTCCCCTTTCCCCCACCCCCTATTTTTTTTTTTTTTATTCTTTGCATACGACTTTTAAAAATACTTTTACTGCCATTAAAGTAGATCTGGTCAGCTTCTGGGAGACCTGAAGGAGTGAGCCGCATTCACTCTGAATGAGCTCAGTTTAACAATCCTATCTCTGAAGAAGGTCAGTCCCTATTTGCAAAGGCATATACTCACAGAAAAGTTTGCATAGACTGCCTGGACTGATCCCCCAAAGAATAAAACTAACTATAAACACTCTAATTTCTTATCTAACTTGTTCTGAAACAAGCATGCCTTTGATGGTCATCTAAGCAGTGTAATCGTCTTAGTGAATATTTTTCCTTCAACTAAAGGCAAGTAAACAACATTAATTCAACGTTAAGAGTGTATTCATAGATCAAGGAACACATACATTAAAGTTGGATTCACACCCTTAATTCTATTGTTGCGCATGCATGCATAGTCATATAAATATTTAAAATGAGATTTCCAATATTTCTAAGACAGACCAGCATTTTATTGGATTTGTTTGCTTGTTGTTTTTGTACAACCATTAGTAAATAGGTAGCATGTACCTATAGAAAAATGATCAGATAGCTAGAGACTGTCAGTGAATGAGTTCAAGAAAGTAGAAGTTAGGAGAATCAATCAAACAAAGTTTTTCCAGGTTTTTGGCTTAAATGTGCAGTCACGTAGGTTCCTTCCCACCATGCAATTTCTAAACATCCCCTTGTTTTTTGAAAGGAAAATATCTCCAGATCAACAACACATCCGAAACACAATGTCAGCAGGTCCCTAAAAATGTTATTAGTAAATTGTGCTCTTGCAAACCAAGCTAGTGTTTATTTTGCAAGCTAAGTGTTTATTTCCATACCTGGGCATTTACCTTAGACACTTCAAGAAAAACCATACATCATAAATACCTATTTTTGTCCTGGCTATCTCTCAATTCCCACGGTTTTCCTTTTTTTTCTTTAATGCATGGCAACCTCACTGAGACTTAAGTTACCTCCTAACCCACTAAAAGATTAGCATTGTTGTTTACTCATTCCAAGGCTGTTCCTGTTACACCCACTTCCTATGGAGTCACGCTGATGGATTAACAGCTATGCTGTGTAACACAGAGAACACATTACAAAACAGTACAATAATTAGCATCTTCAGGAGGTGCCCTCCAAAAATACATCCTTTTTTAATGAAGTACTACCTACACATTCTGTAGTAACCAAACTGAAGCTGACTCACTCTGGAGGTGTCTTCCCTGCAGAGTTCACCCATCGACACAAAATAAGTACCCCCTCACCTGACCTTGGTGACGCTTTTTAAAATGAAAATGTGGTTTAGACCTCAGAGGCTGCTTTCACTGGCCTGCAACCCTCCCACTTTACAACCTTCCCACAAATACAAACTAAATCGCTTCAGTGCTCACAGTTCTTCAATGCCTTCCCCGCAGTCCCTCCTTGATACCTATAGAGATGAACAGGTTTTCCCCCCCAATTCACTGGAAAGAAAAGGACTCAGAGCAGCTTCTGTGGCACATGGCAAGTGCAGCAGGACTGAAGTCCCATAGCACAGGTATAACTGCTTTGTAACTACTCTCATCCATATCCATAGAAAGCAGGCTGACTCCATTCAAGGTAATTCTGAACCCTATAAGAGGAGCGCTGGCTCGTTCTGAATGGGATAAAGAAAAGGAGAAGGGAAAGAAAATTGGGCTGCCCTTTTTTCTTTAAGTAATACCTATTTCTCCATGAAAGGCCAAGATGAGGCACCACAATACCTAAATCTATAGTTTGTGAAAGGAAGAGAATATGCTGGGTGCCTGGGCAGTGAATTTATGGCCTCTACTGATGCTTTGGATATACCCTTGCTGAAAAGGAGAAGCAGAGAATCAGCGTGCCAAATATGCGCTCTGAACTCTGTCACAAGTCATGTCAGAGATGGAAAACTCCTTTGAACACTTGTGTAGCTCTCCCTCCCAAATTTATTCGAGACACGGGCAGAGGACCAGAATTTCTCCATAAAGGGAGCACCTAATGTTACTTAGGTCATCAACCGAAGCAGCATACCTAGTAACAAAAAGCCAAGTAGCAGCTTGCCAGGCTAAAGGCTATGACTTGATTTGGTCACAGTGAAGCTGATACAAGTGGTTTGGAAGAGTTTTAAGTGCCTCTTTGGGTATGCGGCAGCTGGTCACAGCACTTGAACAAGGATGCTGCCGAGCCCCAAAGCTCCAGGGAAAGCTAGGGTATATAATGCTGTTTAGGACAAAATCCAACCCCTCCACTCCCAAGCTGCACCATTCCCTTCTATTAAAGCATTTGACCAGGTTTGTAAGGTCCTCCATGAGGGTGGGAGCATAGGATCCCCTTAGGGGGTGCACTCTTAAAAATGTGTGTCACAAGGGAGCAGTCACCAGTTTCCTGGCTGTAACTGTGGTTGCCTTTGGTCTGACAGCAAAGGGATGGGTTCCTTGCAGTCTTCTCCACCCACAAAGCTCAGGCCCACTAGGGTGAGGGGAAAATCTGGCCTTTTTAGTATTTTCCTACAGAGACACAAGAAACTTTAATTTTTTCCCCCGGACATTTCTAATGAGAAACAAATGTTCAAATCAAAGAATACACTATGTCCATTTTCCTTTACTTCCCTGAATACTGCTGCTGCAGCGCTACTTTTAACAGGCTGCTGCAGTAACATAAATCTAAGTGCTCATGCTAGGGGAAAAAAAAGAGACGTTTAGTATGCAGAATTTTAAAAATAGATCCTTACAACACAGTAATCACCTGCTGCTATCTGCATTTATGTTTATCCAGTCACCAAGGTGCCACATCTGTCACTTCTCAATTCCAGTGGCCTGCTTTCTTGTTGCAGGGAGCGAGCAAAATTT